CAGGGTCATGAGTGACACCGAAATTTGACCTGAATCATTCTCGATCTCACTGCAAATGTTTTGATCGACTTTGTGATAGGATCCCGGGCAGTACCTCCATCAGCTATGCCCGGACGATAGCATGGGTGCGTTAGGGAACGTGTTGGCAATGAAGTTTTATGACATGTGCGCTTGTTGGTGCCATAGACGATGAATCAACAAATGATTTATTAATTAAATTTAAGTTTGTTATTTAAATGTTTTATTGTTTGTGATTTTCTTCTTGGTCGTGGTAATCTTGCTTAATAGCTGCGTTTTTTGATCTAGACGAATTCTTCAGAAGTACTTCTTGGTTCTCAATCTTGCATTGGCGCGTATGGATTAGGATCGCTGAGCGCCCATTATTTGGTACCAATTGAGAAGGGTCAACCACCGTAAAATTTTGGACAGAATCCGCAGTGACCATCTTTGCATATGATGGCGGCAAGCAACCGATAGGATAGATTATGGTTTGCATCACTTTTATCCAATGGAGCCCGGGTCGTGGCCTTGTTTTCTTGCAAAGATATGGCCTGTTTGAGAAAACCTTGCTCGCAGTAGCGAAGCAACGAATAATTGGCACCTATAGTGGGACAATCGTAAAGCCGACCGGAGAAGTTCGCCACGGTTTCACTTCCTACCGCTCCAAATATGAGTTCCTAATATCCTCCACTATTTTCGTCTCTAGAAGTTTCTTCCAGCAGTTCAGCTACGAGGTTCTTCATAATGCTGCCCCTCCTGATCTGTTAACAGAAGTCATACGTTTCTGTAGTCTATTTCTGTGCTTCCATTCGGTATCTTCAGTGAAGGTATTTTCACAAGTGCAAAGTCAACGATCTAAGATGTCTTTGATTATGCCAAATTACCGCGACAAAGTAATTCTTCTGTGCATAGGTGAGTGGTCTTACTGGAAAAAATAGCACACAATACGGTTTACTTGTAGACAATGCAAAAAATACGGTAGTAAGTCCGGTGACTGACTAATTTCAACGCTCTGGCCCGTATCTCACGGGCTTTCTTCAAGGTACGCTTGCGGTGGAGTTTCTTGAATGTGGTTGGTCGTGTGCAGCAGTCGATAGTTTCGGAGTTGAGAACTACGTTTGCCTCAGAAGCCGACGTAAAGAACAGGAGCTCAAATTCCTCTCGCATTGCGTCCATCGACTCCGTCGAAAAAGCAGCACCAGAAACAAGACAAACGCTTATGTTTGCAACCGTTCCAACGTCTAGGCTCACCTGGCATCGTTCACCTTTACAGAATGAACAAAGTATGGGGATACTCGCTTTTTTTTCGTGCAAACTCTGTTCGTTCTCTGATGAAGAACGATGCCAGTAAAGAACCGACCTTTCGCCGTGTCTTTTGTGCTGCCTCGCATGGAATCTGAAGACGACTTGTCAGCAGCCTTACTTCTTCCTGTAGACCTCAG